TTTTTAATTCCCAAGCTTTTCTCACTATTTTCAACAAATAATGAATCTGTGTTTTCGCTACCATTATCATCAAAATACTTTTTTATAATAAATTCTTTTAACGGAAGAATATTATTTTCTTCAATTAAACGTATTTCATTTTTCTCCTCGTTATCATAATATTTTAACTTCTCCTGTTTCCCATTTTATTCCAAGATTCCCTTATCTATATTTATTATAGCTCAAATTTTTCTTAATAAATTGAATACAATTAGAATATCAGATTTTAAACCTTCGATTTCATAAAATAATTGTTTTGTTTCAAAACAGTTTCTGCAGCTTCCCTCCAACCTACAATTGTGTTGTTTCCCCTGTGAAATTTGGTAAGGATTTTACCACTTCAAGTGTTGTATCGCATTTTATAGCTGAGTCAATTGTTTGTTCTTTATAATCTTCCACAGTTTTTGCATCTGTGGCTAGCCTTCCTTCTAAACATTCTACTTTCCTGCTAACTTCATTCAATTGAGCGTTTATTAATCTGTTTATCAATTCTACTGTTAAACTGCCGGCTGTGGCTACACTGCCTGCAGAAAAATTTGGTGCTGAACCTCCGGTTGCCATTGTAAGATTTAATTCACAAAAGCTATTTATCAAATCTTCCAGATTTATTCTTTATATTATTTGTTAATTCGTGAATCTCACTTTTTGCAAGATATAAATCTTATATTATTTTTCTCAAATTCACAGATCTTAAATTATAGTCTTTAATTTTTTTATTATTTTAAATTAATTCCTCACGATATTGTCCCGTTGGGGTCTTCCTTCTGTGTGGTTGGTGGTTGATAGTTGATAAATGGATAGAGAATGTCCTGTCTTCCTTCCTTGGTTTTTTTTTGTTGGGGTTGTCGTTTTATTTTTTTTTGTTGTTCTTGTTTGTTTTTTTTTTGTGCGTTCATTTTTTTAGTTTTTTGTGTTCTTGTAATTGTTTGGTTTAAAATTTCGGTCCACCTTTCTTTTAGTTCACTCTTTATGGATTATTTCATTAATTACTTTCCATTTACTTTGTTGTTAACAATCACTGTCACTTGGTAGTGTCGTTTGGTGGATGTTTTAATTTTTCCACTAAAAATGTTGAGTTGTTGACCGCGCGAGTTCCGTTTATGTTTAACTTATTTTTCATTAAACTATTTTTTTGGAGCTTTATGTGACGCGGCCCCTTGAGTTGGGCGCCAGTTGTAGTTAGGTGAATTAAAAAAATGTAAATTTTATTTTTTAATTACACAACTTGGTGTTAAACCTTTATTTATTAAACGCAACAATTACAAGACACTTTTGATTTCTCTTAAATATTTTTGTCAACCGTTCGCGGTCTTGGTCAAAATAGGACTCGCTTCTTAATTCTAACTCTGATCCACAGAACCTCGGCCATCAGTTGTGTTTAGATTAGAGGCTTAAGATGAAACTGTCGCATCTTATTGTGAAATTCGATTAAGCTGATCGATGCAATTTGGTGGGTACTTGAAACGCAAAAGGCGTAATTGATTGGGCTTCGGAGGGAAGCTGATGTTTACTTTTGATTTTGATTTGTTTATGGGGAACCGAGATCGGACCTCAGAGCCAAAGACAAAGCCGAAGGCAAATGCAGAGTTTGAAAATATTGTTTATAAAATTCATAAGTGGAAAGCCATAAGTGGCCTAGATTTATGGGTTGGATAATTGAGCCAAAGATCAGATCAAGCCAAGGGCAAATGCAGAGATTGAAAATATTGTTTATAAAAGCCATAAGTGGCCTGTATTTAGGGGTTGGATAACTTGCATACACACATACATTGTTTTTGGTGCAATTAATCCGCAAAAAAAAAAATCCGCAAGTGAACAGTGAAAGTGTGTGGTGAAAAAAAGGGCATAATTAATATTGGCCAGCCGGCGTGAAGTGGTTCCAGTAATTTCCAAATTCACAGAACAGAACAAAATTTTAATTTCCTAAAACCAACAATTATATACCGCCATTTCACTACAAATCCGTGATTGTGTCGCGTGAATTCTCGAACTAGCCGCCTTAGAAGCCGTGTTGTGTTTTTTTGGTGCTTGTTTTTTTTCTTTGGGGTACGTGCAGGCTGCCGACGGCATAACCGGCTGCGTAACAACTTACTTCAAAAAAAGGTTATCAATTAATTATAAATATTTATATTTTGAATTATATCCGCCACAATTTATTTAATTATTATTCTCCGTTCGAGCGAAGGGCCAGTTTTTTTATTCACCTTCCCGGCCACTCAATACTTAGAGTCAAAAAGTATTAATAATTTAATTGTCAACCTTCTGTCTGAATAGAGCCGTGGTTTCAATTCCACCGTTCCAGCTTCGTGATAATTAATCTCAATTGATTAAAAATTAAGATTTTCAACTCCACCCTTCTGGCTCCATAATAATTAAGTCCGACAATTAGCCAAAAATTAATTATTAATTTTTTTTTGTGTTAAATCCAAGCCAAGGTCAAGTCCACCTTTCCGGCTCCGCAAATTCGAAAATAGTTAGGAATTCAATTTTTACGTACGAGCCATACTGGTCGAAATATATAAATTTTTCATCAATTTTGACAGTCATCAATATTTTTTCGAACGTGTAAGGGTCTGCCTGTTTCTTCTCTTGTTTGGATTTTTCCACTTCGCCGGCTAGCACGCGTTAAAATCTACAGGGATGGGAACACCCGGAAAACCCCAAAAGACAGCCTTACAAAAAAATATAGATATGGTGAATAAATAATAATACACTAATTCAACAAAAAAATAAATTCGAAACAAGCAAAAGTAAAAACGACTACGTTACACCATTCATTAAACCAGCAAAACAAACAGACAGCGGACACGAGAACCTCCGACATGGGACACCACGAAGGTTTCCCATCCATGGTCCAACTCCTGGATCCGTGGGATCATCACACTCGATCTGCACTCTCACATTCTGGATTACGCGTTTCACTTCCCCCCCTTTATTTCTTTTCTTACTCACATTTCATTTTAAGTTAATTTTGTTTTTATTTCATCCTTTATATTTTTAGTGGATAACACTCTTAAATATTAAACATGAATTAACCTAACACCTAACCAAGGCACCTTGGGACGAATACAGTTAATAGATTAATTACAAAAAAAATAAATAACAAATAATTTAAATAAATAAGTTTATAATCTACGCTAGGATACGGACAGGGTTTCAGGTACTTTTTAAATTTCTAATTTTCCAAAAAACCTGTGGGCCACCCGGGAAGGGTGACCAATTTCCTTTCTTGTAGAAATTTTCGCCTTCGGGTGGCTCCAATTTGTTGACGAGCTCCAAGTCCTCTTTTTTCGAAAGATACTGAGGTTCAAATGAATCGTTATAATTTATCTCGATTTCATTTTTTCTTTGTACTCACTTTAGAGCTCCGTAGAAAATTATTTGGAATTTTTAGTTATTACTTTTTTTTCCCACGTGTCCTCCTCCTGTTGCCGTTCTCTTTCCTTTTTTTTGGCCTCCTTGATCCCGGCTTTCCTCTCAATCACAGCGGTTGGATCCCGCCCGGTTCGTCCTGACTTCTTCTTTCTCAGGTCCATTCAGTTTGTTCCGATGTGCCATCCCTAGCCCCGTTGTGCCATCCCTAGCCCCGCTGTGTCATCGCTTGCAGCGACTATCGACACCTAACAGCACACTACGGTTTCCTTAGCTTGCGAGGATAACAGGAGTGGAAGAAAAGTGTCGTGTAAACTGCAAGGAGAAAACTGCTTTGATGCTTAGCCCAACGTAGGCTTCGTCCACGCCCTGAGATTTACGCTTATACTGGAGCTAGCCGGGCCCTCATTGTTTTAAATCTTTGGCATGAAAGACGCCTATCGGTTGCCCTCGTAGGTTCTCCAGCGCGTACAGTGAGTTGCCCAGAACTTTGCATATCCTACACTTAACATATTTTTTGCAGAACTTGGCGTTGATGTTCTTATGGAGATTGCTGAGTACGAAGTTCCGCTTAAAGACTTCTTGTCCCGGTAAGTACTTGACTTCTTTGGTTTTTAAATTGTACCTCCGCGCCGCCTCTTCGTAGGCCTTGTGAATACGTTCCTTTATCCCGGAACGCTGGACTTGCTGTTTCTCCGACCTTCGTAGCTGCTGAATCTCTGACTCGTTTAATGCTTTTAGCTTTCGGGCCAGTTGGTAATCTCCACCGTTCGAAAACATATGTTGCCCGAACATTGCGAAATATGGGGACACCCCTGTCGAGCAATGTGACGCTGCCCTCAGTGCCGCCTGCACCTCCGGTAACCGTTCATCCCATCGGGCATGGTCCTCGCCGATATTCACCCTAATGGCCGCGAGTACCGACTGGTTGACGCGCTCGGATGCGTTTGCTTGCGGTGCGTATCTGCCCGTTTTCATGTGCGTTATCCCATACAGCTGCATCATATCCTCAAATTCCTTAGAGATAAATTGCCTGCCATTGTCCGTGTGTATGATTTCCGGCACTCCAAATTGCGTGAAAATATGTTCTCTAAGGAATCCGACAACCGCCAACGACGTTGCTCTGGGCATAGCTTTCAACCAGGCAAACTTTGTAAAGTGGTCTACCACTATAAGTAACATGGTATTGCCGCGCCTGGATCGGGGATATTTTCCGAGGAAATCCAAGTATAACTTTTGCATTGGTCTGTCGGTTTCTACTTCTTCTCCCATCGGCGGTCGCGTAATGTGCGTGGAGTGCTTATTTTCTTTACAGCTGACGCAGGTACTAACCCATTCTTTCACCTGTAACACCATGTTCGGCCAATAGTACATTCGCTGTAGCCTCGCTAATGTCTTCCGGATTCCCCCATGCAGAGCCATCTCCCCTTCATGAGCTTGTTATACTAATGTACTTGTTAGTTCCTCAGGGATCCACAATTTCCAGTCGAACTCCTCGCTGTCCTCCCGGCAAAAACGAGTCTTCTTGAAAAGTAAGCCTTCTTCAACTCGTAAGTCTGGGAATCGATCTCCTTGCTCTTTTACTAACTTTACTCTTTCCCGGTACTCCCGGCGAACGCCGTCGTCTCCATGTTCACAAGGCTCAGCTCTTCTACTTCGTTGGGGCGTGAAAGAGTATCGGCCACCACATTGTCCTTTCCTTTCCGATGGTCGATGTTAAACTGGTAAGGCTGTAGCGCTAGAAACCATCTGGCCAGTCTCCCTTCCAGATTTTTAAAAGACATCAGCCACTTAAGGCTCGCGTGATCCGTCAAGATGGTGAACGGCATCATCTCTATGTAGGGACGGAACCTCTCAACAGCTTTGACTGCAGCCAGACACTCTATCTCGGTTACACTGTAATTCAGCTGTGCGCCTCGCAGCTTTGCCGAAAAGTAGGCGATCGGCCGTTCCGCTTTATCGTCGTCCTTCTGGAACAACACCGCGCCGATACCTACATGACTCGCATCGCACTGAATCCAGAAGTGCTTTCGGAAGTCAGGGTGGGTCAAAACCGGCGCACAGGTCACTGCTTGCTTTAGCTTCTGGAACGCTACCTCCGCTTCAGGTGTCCACTGTAGCCCTTTCCCTCTTTTCAGGCAATCGGTTAAAGGAGCGCTTATTTCGGAAAAATTTTGTATGAACCTTCTATACCAATTCGCCGTGCCAAGGAAACTGCGCAATTGTCGGACGTTCTTCGGGACCTCAATTTCTTTAATGGCTGCGATCTTCCGTGGGTCTGTTTTCAGAGCGCCATCTCCTAAAACATACCCCAAATACCGCAAGTATTTAAAACAGAACTTTGACTTCTGCAATCCGATGGTCAAATTCGCCTTCCGTAAGCAATTTCCCACTTCTGTTAGTAACTCGCAATGCTCCTCAAAGGTCTTCGAGATCATTAACAGGTCATCGAGATATACGAACACTCGGTCTCTGAGCCTCTGTGGGATGACTCTATCCATCAACCTGCATAATCTTTGCGCCGCATTGCATAAGCCAAAAGGCATCCTCCGGAACTGATACAGCGGCCTCCCAGGTATAGTAAAGGCTGTATACGGACGACTCCTTTCCTCCAGTTCCACTTGCCAAAACGCATGTTTTAGGTCGATGCTGCTGATGTAAATCGTGTCATCGACCCGGCTGAGGATGGACTCTATATTCTGCAATGGGTAGGCATCCTTCACCGTCAATGCATTCAGCTTCCGGGCGTCTAAACACAGCCTGTTCTTGCCGGGTTTTTGCACCAACGTCGTGCGGTTGTTCCACGGACTCTCACTCAGCTCGATGACTCCGAGTCTCAACATTTCGTCCACTTCAGCGAACAAAAGTTGCTGCTTGGCCGGGGACACTGGATAAAACCTTTCCTTGACGGGCACTGCCCCCTCTACTAGCTTTATGGTGTGCTGTTCCATCGTTGTGAGTCCTAACCCTTGATTCTCATATGCCAGGAACCCTTCCTTTACTTTATCCAGCCGTTCCTTTTGTTCCTTCGTTAGGGTGTGAGGCTCTACTGGTTCCCCTTTGCTGTGGATCTCGGTTTCCACGTTCTCCAACGACTCGACTCTCACGACTTCGGGTGCGATGTGGAACTTCCTCCAAAAATCTACGCCCAGATAAAGTTTTTGCTTCAAAGAGGGGCAAAGCAGGATCGGGATGCGGTGCGTTTGACCTTGGTATCTTATCTCTGGATAAACCTTGCCAAGCACCTGGTGTTTTGCACCGCCCGCGGACTGCATGATTGCTCGCGTCTTTTCCCGTCTCAATCCTAATTTTTCAATCAATTCCAGACATCCTTCACCGAGGAGACTGACGGATGCACCACTGTCTAACAGGCCTTCGATGTTGTTTCCCTCTACTTCCACGATCGCAAACGGCCTGTTGTCGCCGCTCACCGCGGCTCGAATCGCTGCACATATCCTTTGCCTCTCGGTCCTCCGCTGGGCACGTTCGATTCTTGGAGTTACTGGGTACTCTTGGAAACACCGCGGCTTACCCTCCTTGTAATCCGCTCCTTGTGCTGAACTTGGATTCCCATCCGATCTTTCTAACGTTGGACTCTGCTTATTTATATTTACTAGTATTTGATTAATATGCTTAACACTACTTATTTTCTAGAGTCTGCGGATCGGCCTCTATCTTGATGCAAATGGGTTGGAACGTGGCTCCTCGGCCCGGGACATGCTCCTTCCCCCGTTTCCCGACTGACACTTTGGACATTTCGGCAACACGACTCCGGGAGTGCCACATTTGTAGCAAAATATGTTGCGCACCGTTGACTCACACTCCCAAAATGTGTTCCCCCGCTCGTTGCAGTTCCAGCAATTCAGGGTCGACTTATCCCTCGACTTCTCTTGTCGGTGCAGGGCTTCGACTTCACCCTCCTCGGGCCAGCCGTCCTCGTCCTCCTGCTGATCTTCCACCTCTTCCACCCTCGGACGATAAGAGAATCCTCTTTGATGCTCACCCTCCGCCGTCTGCCTAGACCATCGAGTGGCTAGCATCCTCTCCGCATCGTGACACTCATGGCGTAGCTGCTCCAGGTTGGTTACATGAATCGGATATACAATCTTGGATATTCTCTCCCTCAGATTCATTTTTATTATTTTTATTCGTTCAAAATCGGATACCGGTGTCTCCAATCTTGCCCTCAGCGTCAACATCATCTGGATATAGGCCTCCACACTCTCTCCGGATCTTTGCTTCCTCTCTCGCAGCTCATACTCTCTCTCAAAGTTCGACCTATGGCTTTGAAATTGCTTTTGGAGTGCGTACTGCAGATATGGCCAGTCCGTCTTCCCGTTGGTACGTATGTACATCCAATACCATTCTCTGGCTGGACCTTCCACTAACACATGGAACTCCCTTAGCACCTCGCTCCACGGAATGCGATACGACCTCTGCAGGTGCTCTAGTCGGAACACGAACTCCGAGACCGGCATGCTTCTGGGACTGCCATCGAACAACAAGCCCCATTTGCGGAGATGTCCCACTTCCATTCGGGCCTGGCTTGACCCTCGCGTTTGCCCCAACGACTCGGCTTGGTTCATTGCCGAGGGTACGTATGACGCGTCCCATTCTGGCTCCATCTCCAGCGACAACGCTTGACCCGGCGGTTGGTAACCCCGTGCTTCCCAGCCGATCCTGGACGCGGCTCGTTCCGGAGGCCTCGACAGATCCTGTTTGCCGTATATGTTCGGTGGTGGCTTTGAATAGTCTTCCGGCAACGGGACCACCTGTCTTATTGTGTCCGCCCTTGCTTCTGCGTGCTGCATCTTTGGTCCGGTTGGTGGTGCAGATGCTGGCCCCTGCCATCCTCGGTCGGAACACCTTGCCGTCGGCTGACACGGAGGCGGCTGTTGGAACTGACGTTCGGGAGGCTTCATCGAATGAGACTCTGCCGGCTGCTGCTGCTGTTGACTCATCCACTGGCTCTCGAAGTCCTTCCTCCACGATGCCCTGCAGTCGTTTATGTCCTTCATAAACAGCATCATGTCGGCCTCCATTTGCTCCTTGAATGCATTGAACTCACTGTGCTTTCCCGATTCATACGTCTGTTGTGCCTGAAACAGTGCCGTATTAACTGCCGACCGAATCTCTGACGGAACCTCCGTTTGGACCTTTGGTATCGCTCCTCTGCCACTGCTTCCTTGATCGTAGCCTCTTGCTACTTCGGCTTCAATGGAGGCGGCCATGGCTTGATGCACCGTCTGTCGCTCATCCAGAACTCCTGTGGGCGATACCTTCTTCAGTCCGGCCTTGAGATCTGGTCACCGCTGGACTCATTATTTCTCCACTCCGATTCCGCAAAAACTCCTCACTCCTTCTTATCTTTCTACCTGACTCTACTCTATCTTTCTCTATAATCGGCATTTCTTCATAAATAATCTTAATTTAATTCTTTTCACTTATTTCTATTATCTATTTCTATTTTTGGGTCTCTTAATTTTCTATTCTTCCTTTTATATTTTTTTTTCTTTTACTGCTTCTTGAATTCTGTTAAAGGGGGGTTGTGAAAACGCATCCATCCAGCTCCTCAGATCTGTGAGATTTCCTCCTATCTCGTCTCTTGTGCTGCTTCCTTCGATTTACTTTACTTAATTCTATACCAAAAAAAACATTCATTTATCCCTTTTCCGTTCACAGCCACAAATTGTCTCGGACGGAACACACATACTTCATTATATTTACCGAACGCGGACCACATCCTCGAGCCTCTGGACTACACGCAAGACACCACAAAGGGATCTATTCAGATACGTACTTTACTTTACTTAAAAAAAAAACAATGTAAACAAAGGACTTTCCTTGCAGATTCAGTCTCGCCGGAAGGGCAGCGCGTGATCTGGATTCTACGATCCTGTCACGGGTCCAACTTCCGAGAATCCTTCGATCCTATCAAGTCCTTTTTTCGGGTTGGGCGCCACTTCGCCGGCTAGCACGCGTTAACATCTACAGGGATGGGAACACCCGGAAAACCCCAAAAGACAGCCTTACAAAAAAATATAGATATGGTGAATAAATAATAATACACTAATTCAACAAAAAAAAATAAATTCGAAACAAGCAAAAGTAAAAACGACTACGTTACACCATTCATTAAACCAGCAAAACAAACAGACAGCGGACACGAGAACCTCCGACATGGGACACCACGAAGGTTTCCCATCCATGGTCCAACTCCTGGATCCGTGGGATCATCACACTCGATCTGCACTCTCACATTCTGGATTACGCGTTTCACTTCCCCCCCTTTATTTCTTTTCTTACTCACATTTCATTTTAAGTTAATTTTGTTTTTATTTCATCCTTTATATTTTTAGTGGATAACACTCTTAAATATTAAACATGAATTAACCTAACACCTAACCAAGGCACCTTGGGACGAATACAGTTAATAGATTAATTACAAAAAAAATAAATAACAAATAATTTAAATAAATAAGTTTATAATCTACGCTAGGATACGGACAGGGTTTCAGGTACTTTTTAAATTTCTAATTTTCCAAAAAACCTGTGGGCCACCCGGGAAGGGTGACCAATTTCCTTTCTTGTAGAAATTTTCGCCTTCGGGTGGCTCCAATTTGTTGACGAGCTCCAAGTCCTCTTTTTTCGAAAGATACTGAGGTTCAAATGAATCGTTATAATTTATCTCGATTTCATTTTTTCTTTGTACTCACTTTAGAGCTCCGTAGAAAATTATTTGGAATTTTTAGTTATTACTTTTTTTTCCCACGTGTCCTCCTCCTGTTGCCGTTCTCTTTCCTTTTTTTTTGGCCTCCTTGATCCCGGCTTTCCTCTCAATCACAGCGGTTGGATCCCGCCCGGTTCGTCCTGACTTCTTCTTTCTCAGGTCCATTCAGTTTGTTCCGATGTGCCATCCCTAGCCCCGATGTGCCATCCCTAGCCCCGCTGTGTCATCGCTTGCAGCGACTATCGACACCTAACAAACGAGCACGAATTTTCCGGTACTTGTCTATTTTCCGTCCCTTTAACAGTGCTTCTACTCCGCATCAGGCAACATCCGCCTAGAATCTCAACAAACCTTGTCCCATCTGGTTTTTTTTTGGGTTCCTGAAGTTTTCTTCCACATTCGAATTGTGCCGCATCCGCCGTTCCTTTCGACATCGGCGCTACTAATTCCCACTTGTGCCTTGTAAACGCATTTCATCCGCGATCTCACCGTTCTCATCACATTAGTGTGACCGGCCGCCGCTTCGTACGAGGCACCTATTGCGCAAGTCAGTCGACAAGCGTTGACCAGCGAATTGGTGTCTTAGAATGCCCACGGGAGACGACCAAAGGCCACGTCCGATCCCAACCATCCGTTTGGACAGATCTCGATCCGCTTCTCCGCGGACGCCTCTTTTAAAGCCTAAGGCGTACAGTGCCATTCCAAGGGCAAAGAGTGACGAATCCGTTAATACAATCCCCGGTCCTTCACAAAGGCAGACTCGTTCCGTTGCAAAAATGGCTCAAAGTGCGGTCGACGTGGCGCTGAAAAAGTTCATCGCTACAACAGATCGAATTAGCCAATTTGAGGCTAACATAAATACGCCAAAGAAACGAGCCTCACAGACCGCTTTGAGAACCGGCGGCTATTGGTCAACAGCCAGTTAAAAATACTTTTCAACATCCAGGCTATTTCTCAAGAGTCCGGGGACGCGCTGAAGGATCTGCAAGTCACCATTCGGAGTTGTCTGACAGCCCTAGCAATGTCCTCCATCAATGTTGAGGTTGGGACTGCCTCCTGGTATTTATGATTTCGTCAAAGCTCCTCAAAGTCACACTTTCTATGTGGGAGCAATCCGTCCATAATAAGGCCGAAAATACAACATGGAAGGAATTGGACAACTTCCTGACAGAGCGCCATCGCACTCTGGAAGCAATCGACGACGTCAGGCCTAGTGGCTCCGGGCAACTTCCGCCAAGGTCGGGAATTCCTACTGCCCCTGCTCGGAGGCTCAATTCGTACGAGACTCGAGTGGTTCCGGGCCCCAAGGGTTGCGATCTCTGTTCGAGGGAGAACCACCCCATTCGCTTATGTCCGCGGTTCCTAGAAATGGACGTAAATGGACGCTCGGACTACTTTAAAAGAAAGCAGTTATGTTTAAACTGTTTTGCCCGAGGACACCAGCAGCGCGACTGCACGAGCGCCCATACCTGCTTCACATGTCACAGCCGACACCACACACTCCTGCACCGCGGCAATCCGTTCGCCACCGCTCCAAGTCCGCCTACGACAGCAAACGGCTTGACCCGCACAGACTGCCAGAAGCACAAATGGCTCAGAGGATCAGTCGGATGTCCAGGTGTGCTTCGCTTCCGGGTCAGGAGCCGTCCTACTGGCACGGCCCTTATCAACGTGTGCCATTTGGGGTGCAGCTTCCAGGCACGAGCACTGATAGACTCAGGGTCCGAAGTGACTTTCATAACGGAACGACTGTTCAACCTCGTCAAGCCTCCCTTCAAGACGATTCAAGACCAAGTTTCCGGCCTTAATCAGACCATTTCCGCGCAGTCTACTAAATTGTGCCATTTCTCCATTTGGTCGCCGTCTAGACCCGGGCTACAATAAGAGACTGCGGCTTACGTTCTTCCGCAGTTGGTAGGAAATCTGCCATCATATTCGATTTCGCGAGATCATCTCAAGGGGCTGCCCGACATTTCTCTGGCGGACCCCAACTTCTTTGAGAGCTCCCAAGTCGATGTGTTAATAGGAGCTAACATTCTTCCGTCCATTCTCCTCGGTAATGCCAAGGCTAACATCTGCGGGTCGCTTCTCGGTCAGGAGACCATTTTTGGATGGGTGCAGACAGGCCCATTATCTCCAGCCAACCCCCGCAGCGTGTCCGTTTTTTCCGCACGAGTTGCCCCCAGCCTCGGTGACTCACTGGAAAAGCTCCTCACCAAATTCTGGGAGGTGGAAGATGTGCCCACACAAATAAGTTCGGAATCGGATTCAGTTTGCGAGCAAAATTTTGTCCAGACGACGAGAAGAGACGAGTGTGGCAAGTACGTTGGGACGCTCCCCTTACGCGACCCCGAGCAGAAGGGTTCCAAGCTAGCGACTTCGCGGTCCTTTGCCCTTGCTCAGTTCCTGCGTAATGAGCAGCGCCTGAAGAGGGATCCGCCTCTTAAGGCCCGCTATGACTCGATAATCTAGGAGTACATCGACTTAGGCCAAGGTCTCTCCCTCGAGCAATTCCGCTACCTACTATCTTCCACATCATGCCGTCTTCAAGCCCGAAAGCACGACGAGCAAGGTGCGAGTGGGGTTCAATGCTTCGAGCCCGTCCGCAAACGGGACCAATCTGAACGACATTCTTTACGCGGGCCCGGTCTTACAATCCGACCTGACGATTCAAATCCTAAAGTGGCGATACTTTAGGTTTGTCTTCAACGCCGACATCGAGTAGATGTATCGGAATATTTGGGTAGACCCCAAGCCTACTCCGCTCCAACGTATTTTGTTTTGCAATCCTCATGGGAATATCCGCGACTAAGAGTTGAAAACGGTCAAAAACGGTCGTGTGCTGCAACAGCTCGCTGACGACGAAGAGTCGAAGTATCCGCAGGCAAGCCAAGTTATCCGGCATTTTATGTACATTGATGACGTTCTCGCGGGGGCAGACTCCAAAACTGAAGTTCAAGCTGCGATTCGGGAGCTGAAAGAGGCCCTAGAGTTGGCAGGGTTTCCACTTAGGAAATGGACGTCGAATAGCAAGGCAATCCTGGCCGACATTCTGAGCGACCACCCCCTTCGTGCTGATTTCCTCGACACCGATGCAGAGAGCACGGCCAAGACACTCGGCGTGCGGTGGAAAGCGACGACTGATGAATTCTTTTTTGTACCGCCAATTGAGAATTGAAATTGCCAAATTGTTCGATCCAGCAGGTTGGCTGGCTCCTTTCATGGTTCGTGCAAAAATGTTCATGCAAGACATTTGGCTTCTGGATCTAGGGTGGGACGACGCCCTCCCTTAAGATTTCAGTCAGCAATAAGTTGACTTCCTAAAGATGGAATCGGTGCTCGATCAGATTCGTGCTCCTCGGTGGGTCGCGTTCCGACCACACCTAAAGGTCGAACACCACCGGTTCTGCGACGCTTCACAGAAGGCGTACGGCGCAGCAATTTATGTTCGTGTCGAGGTTGGGTCCACGGTAATAGTGACCTTGCTGACTGCAAAGACTCGAGTGGCCCCAGTTAAAACGGTGTCGCTCCCTCGGCTAGATCTGTGCGGTGCCTTGTTGTTGTCCGAGATGGCCACCGCCGTTCTGCCAAAAATGCCAGAGGCCGTGTCTGCCCTATACTGTTGGAACGACTCGTGGCTGCAGAGGCCAGCGTTCCAGTGGACAACGTTCGTGGCCAA